CCAACCTCCCAAAATTGTGATGGCTTGACCCCTTTCCATTTTAACAGTACAAATTCTACAAACACTTCCATTTCTCCCGCATATTTCCCAACTAACCTTAATGGCACATGTTAATTTATCATTAATAGCTATATCCCACGCCTCTTTATACCATTCTTCCATTTTATATTCTGCTTGCCTTCCACTTCCTAGCTCTATTAATTCATGCAGCTGTCGATAAATCTGTGAGCAAGTCCTTCATAGCCGTGAACATCCACCCCGTTGTAAATTGATATAATGCCACTCTGGACTTTGGGTCGGTTTTAACTCAGTGATTTCTGTTATCTCCTTAAACACCCTTTGCCAAATCAAGTCAGTCTTCCCCAATGGTTGAAGTCGACTCAAAGACCATCGCAGCCAGAGTGTGGGGGACTATCTGAATAACACTGGGTGGGGCAGAGCCCAGAGGGCCACGCTAGAAGAATGTTGGAATGAAGTGATATGGCTTTAGTAGAAATGTTATAAGGAATTAAGTATAAATAGATTAATAGAGTATTAAAGGAAACATAAGGTTAAAATGTGTTAAGATAATTATAGGATAGAAAACAGGGGAAGATGGAAAGGAATTGCTGAAATAATTAATAGAAGTGGAATACAAAAAGGGAGGTGTGAGGAGGTCGTGGAAATATGTGAAAGATAAGATATTGATTTTTTTCCTTTTTTAATGTGTTTTTAAATTGTTTTTGTTTTGTCTTGTTAGTTTAATGTTTTAGTGTTATGTAGTGTTTTTAAGTATATTTAAGTATAAATAGATTAATAGAGTATTAAAGGAAAAAACAAGGTTAAAATGTGTGGGGGACTATCTGAATAACACTGGGTGGGGGCAGAGCCCAGAGGGCCACGCTAGAAGAATGTTGGAATGAAGTGATATGGCTTTAGTAGAAATGTTATAAGGAATTAAGTATAAATAGATTAATAGAGTATTAAAGGAAACATAAGGTTAAAATGTGTTAAGATAATTATAGGATAGAAAACAGGGGAAGATGGAAAGGAATTGCTGAAATAATTAATAGAAGTGGAATACAAAAAGGGAGGTGTGAGGAGGTTGTGGAAATATGTGAAAGGAAGATAAGATATTGAATTTCTTTTTTCTTCTTCTTTTTTTTGATGTGTTTTTAAATTGTTTTTGTTTTGTCTTGTTAGTTTAATGTTTTAGTGTTACCGGTATGTAGTGTTTTTGTATTGTACTGTATTGTGGTTTTTTGTGTGTCCCCCCCCCTGTAGTGTTTAAATTGTCGTAAAAGTAATAAATATTATTAGTTTTTTTAAAAAATTGGGCCTAATGCCCTGACATATGCTGCGGGTGAGGGGGGGGTGTTCTTCATGTACCTGCTACCTTTTGCTCTCTCCCTCCTCAGGTCGCCAGTGAGATGTCTTGCCGCAGAGGGCACTGCCCACAGTGAAGAGGTGCCTGGTGAACGATGGCCAAGCGGCTTCTGGTGGCTATCGCCCTCTGGGCCCTGGGAGGCCCTGCTGGGCTTCATCATCTCTACCTGGGCCGGGATAACCATGCCCTATTGTGGATGCTGACTTTGGGGGGGTTTGGGATGGGGTGGCTCTGGGAGCTGTGGCTGCTGCCGGGTTGGGTGGCGCAGGCCAATCGCACCTTGGAACTGCCCAGAGATGGACCTCCACCTTTCAGCCCTGTGCGCTTCCTTGGCCAAGCCTCAGTAGGCATCTACTTTGGTTTGGTGGCCCTGATGGGCCTCTCAGCCCTCCCGGGTTTTTACTTCCTGGCTCTCCCCCTGGCGGTGGGACTCGGAGTTCACCTGGTGTCCGCAGTGGGTGACCAATCCTCCGATCTCCAAGCTACTTTAAAGGCGGCCTTCATAACTGCACCAATCTTCTATGGCCGCTCTCTGGCCATCTTCCCCATCACTCTCACGACTAGTGTCACAGCCCAGCGGCACCGGTGCTATAAATCCAGCAAGCGCACCAGGGAGAAGCTTGGTGCCCGACTGTACCGACTGGGCCTAGCCTACCTTGCTTTCACTACACCTTTGGCATACTCTGTCTTCTACAACACAGCGGCCACTGCCAGCTACGTAGCCGGCACTATTAGATCCACACTGGATTGGCTCAGTGTGTTCCCATCCCTGAGCAGCGCGCTGGAATCTGTGCTCCTCCTACCCTACCATGCTTGGAAGATGCTGGGCTTCAGCGGTGGCTCCTTCCAGGAGTGGGAGCAAGTTTTTGCCTTCGTGCACTCGGTCCAGAACGAGAGGCAGCGGATGGCATTGAAGGTACAGTGCAATACTCTTGAGCTCAGTTTTGTTTTTGTGACGGTATGTTGTTGTTGTTTAGTCGTTTAGTCGTGTCCGACTCTTCGTGACCCCATGGACCAGAGCACGCCAGGCACCTCTGTCCTCCACTACCTCCCGCAGTTTGGTCAGACTCATGCTGGTAACCTCGAAAACACTATCCAACCATCTCGTCCTCTGTCGTCCCCTTCTCCTTGTGCCCTCCATCTTTCCCAACATCAGTGTCTTCTCCAGGGAGTCTTCTCTTCTCATGAGGTGGCCAAAGTACTGGAGTCTCAGCTTCAGGATCTGTCCTTCCAGTGAGCACTCAGGGCTGATTTCCTTAAGAATGGATGTGTTTGATCTTCTTGCAGTCCATGGACTCTCAAGAGTCTTCTCCAGCACCATAATTCAAAAGCATCAATTCTTCGCGATCAGCCTTCTTTATGGTCCAGCTCTCACTTCCATACATCACTACTGGGAAAACCATGGCTTTAACTATACGGACCTTTGTTGGCAAGGTGACGTCTCTACTTCTCAAGATGCTATCTAGGCCTGTCATTGCCCTTCTCCCAAGAAGCAGGCGTCTTTTAATTTTGTGGCTGCTGTCACGGTATACTTTATAGCAACTGAGCTAGAGGAGTGGGATCTGAGCAACGTCTGTTTTTGGGTGACCATGTGGGTTAGGGTACTGAGGGGCCCGTTTCAGAAGTCTTTCCGGAATGTGGGCTTTTGCAGCGAAAGGTTTCTGCTGGACTTTACTGGCATTTGGCACCGTTTTGGAATAAATACGGCAATGTCGAGATTTTTGTAATGCCATGATCCCGTGGTTTAGGATGCTGAGCTTCCCATTCCGGAAGTCTCCGCGGAACATGGGTTTGGGGCCACAAAATGCTTCTGTGGAGCCTTTGCCGACGTTTGGCGACATTTTGGAGTGAATTGGAGTCAACATTTTTTGGTGACCCCATTTAGGAAGTCTCTGTAGAATACAGATTTTGGGGCGCAAAAGGCTTCTGTGGGGCCTTTGCTGATATTTGGCTCCATTTTGGAGTGAATCGGGTGACATTGCTTTTTTGGTCATACTCATATTTCTAGATTCATGGTTTTTGAATCTTCAGCCAATTCAAGGATAAGGCTAGAGTTGGACTTAGCTGGTAACTAAGGCTACTTTATCCATCTTTCAAGTGGAACTGGGAAACAGGAAGTTTGGGCTTTGGGAAGAGGGAATCGAAATGTCTCTATTCCCATCTTTAACACCCTCCCTTCAAATGTCAAGGAGATAAAGAACTACATAACTTTTAGAAGACATCTGAAGGCAGCCCTGTATCAGGAAGTTTTTAATGTTTGTTATTTTGCTATGTTTTATATATGTTGTAAGGGATGCGGGTGGCGCTGTGGGTTAAACCACAGAAACTAGGACTTGCCAATCAGAAGGTTGGCGGTTCGAATCCCCGCGACGGGGTGAGCTCCCGTTGCTCGGTCCCTGCTCCTGCCAACCTAGCAGTTCGAAAGCACGTCAAAGTGCAAGTAGATAAATAGGTACCGCTCCGGCGGGAAGGTAAACGGCGTTTCCGTGTGCTGCTCTGGTTCACCAGAAGCGGCTTAGTCATGCTGGCCACATGACCCGGAAGCTGTACGCTGGCTCCCTCGGCCAGTAAAGCAAGATCACCACCGCAACCCCAGAGTCGGCCACGACTGGACCTAATGGTCAGGGGTCCCTTTACCTTTATATATGCTGTAAGTTGCCCAGAGTGGCTAGGGAAACCCAACTAGATGGGCGGGGTATAAATAATAGAATTATTATTTTTATTAAAGCTGAGGAGACCTGGGTTTAAAACCCCACTTAGACTCACAGGCTGACCTCTCAGCCTAACCTACCTCTCAGAGGATAAAATAGAGGTGAGGAGGAGCCACATTTGCTGCCTTGAGCTCTTTGGAGGAAAGGTGAGCTATAAATAATATAAGAGTCTTATATGCGTCTATTCAGAAACCCCATTACGTTCAATGGGATGCACTCCAGGTAAGAGTGTATAGGATTTCAGCCAAACAGCTCAAATCTAACTAAGTGTACTCAGAAGCAAGTTCAGTCCAGGATATTGCAACCCTCTCAACACGCTACAAACAAACAGGAGCCAAAAAAACTCATTAAAAAACTCTTTAAACTCATAGAAGCAAATTCAATACAAGTCCATAGGACTTACTCCTGGGTAAGTGGGGTTAAGACTGCAACCTAAGCCCTAATCGTAGAGCAGAGAATGCCAGCTTTAAGGCCAGTAAGCTGTAAAGAACAACAACAACACTAGAAACCATAGGAGAAAGACAGTCTCAAAGGTTGGATAGCTCAGTAGGTTAGAGTGTGGTGCTGATAACACCAAGGTTGCAGGTTCGATCCCCATATGGGACAGCTGCATTTTCCTGCATTGTAGGTGTTGCAGGAATTTATGTATAGGTTGGGGGTTGCCCCTCCAGCAGATATCATGCACATGCAGCCCACTACCAAAATCAGCACAATCCTTTTTGTGACTTTTGTCCCCACAAAACACTTCATCACAGTTTCTTCCTATCTATTCAAAGGGCCTTTGCTGCACGATACA